GGCTGTACATCATTACAATAGTCTTTTACATTTTGTGCATTAGTACAATTTTCAGAGTATGATTCACCACACTGCTAAATGTACCCTCATTAGTCAAGCACCTCTTTGTGAGTCATATGTGAATGACCACGGCATTTACTATTACAAATTAGACTGAGACTTTCAGTAGTCACAGAACTCATCTTGGGCAATAAGCATTTGTCATCATAAAATGCAGACGGCTTTTGAATTGACTTAATGACTAATTGTGGTTCCGTTAAAGTAATTTACTCTGCAAATTAATTTGAAACAGAAATTTGTCTGCCATCAAATAATTTACAGTCTACAGTGCAGTGGTATTGAATTTTTATTAGAGAACGTAAAGTTTATCTTGCTGAAATTTTACGTGATGGGGCAGAATATTAAAAGGGCACGAAACACAGACATTAACTTGCAATTTGCAAGAGAGAAAAGGTTGCTGAGGTATCTTATCATTTGTTTTAATTATACTTCCCTGAGTTGTCAGTTTTTTAAAAAAAAGTTTAATATTTGGTGAACTTTAAAGATTGGTTGTTAAAACTCCCAATGTATTACAATACAATACTGTAGCATGTACTTCCTGTTACTGTTTGTTTTATGTATTCGTATCCTTGTGGTCTGGTAGTTTCTTTAGTGGTTGTAAAGTGCTGGTTTTACAACCAATACAGGATGAAAAATTGGTTGCCTTTGGGGGTTGATAATAATTCAGCAAAATGTACGCAGGTCAATCTTATAAGCTTAATGCATCATGTTAGTCAAATATGCTTTTTGTTTCACTATTGTTTTATTGTTTACTAACAGAAGAAAAACAGTTAGCAGCCTGCCACAGGAAAAAAAACATTTGGAACCAAATTTATCATAATCTTGCTCCATTTCCAGTACCTGACGTGCTGTCTTGCAGAACTGATTGTTACGTGCTGTGTGTTGGAGTTGGAAAGCCAAGGGAGTAGCCACATGGTGTATAAGAGACAACATTATGATCTGGAGACTATTTAACGCTCCAGTTGACCTGAAACAAAGTGTCAGACCTCATTGCACTAGCGGCGTATATTATCTTATTCCCCTAATACCCAGGGGCAGTGAAATGATTTATAATCCATTAGATCTTATTCTGCAGAAATGAATTATGGTAGCTGCATGATAGAGAATTAATTTAAAATGTGAATTATATACACAAGCACTGTCAGTTCTTTAACAGGGAGACTTTTGCACAACAAATTATTACTTTTAGCTCTTTTTAATTACATTTATTTGACTAGCTACAAAATACAGCTATGGCAAATGTGACATTATGATCTAATTATGTGACCTGTAAAGTAACAGGACATTTAATCGCATCATCAGAAGCAAGTCATTTTGCATCATGACAAATGTCAAGACAAATGCTTTACCCAGAGTCAAAATCACCTGTTGGGGTTCTTCATTATTGGTGGGAGGAAATATTCCCGCAAATGTCATATTAAGACCTCGAAATAACCTCACATTATCCTAGCAAATAATACATTCAATGTTTTAATTGAAGGCCTTTGCAAACAAATAGAATGCTTAAAGTTGTAAATTAAAATAGTTTGCCCCACTTAATTAACAAGTTTTTGATGAAGGAAATGTGTTTGTGCCGCAAGTTGTTTGTATATTGATATTACTCTCCTCATGTTTATTTTGGAGGAAGGGAGAGGATCTCCTTGGACAAAAGCTAATTCCAATCTAATATGCAAGGCAACGGAATGTAGAAATCAAGTCTGCTCGCTTTGCTGGAGTGGTCTACAGTAATCCAGGGCACTGCTGATGACAGACCAGTTAACACAGCTCATTCTTAATTGAAGGGATATATCAGTCACTGGGAGGCGGTATTCTTTCCACTTGGCCCTTGTTAACCCTGCAAGCCAAAGCCCTAATGGGTAGAGTGATGGTAGCAAGACAAGGAGCAGGAAGCTTGCAAAAGACAAGCTATACGGCAGTAACAAGCTGCACGGTTTCAGCTTGTGTATTGGTATCCTCAACTATGCTACTGTAATAGACTTAAATACTAATGTATTACATATTTATAATGGACTCAAACATAATACCACTGTTTTCGGTTGTGAATGCCAGGAAGCTCAATATCATCTTTTTGTTAATATACATGCACTGCAATCCAGAATGTTGTTAGGATGTAGTGTCTTTGCATAAAAAAAAGGCCTAGCCAAAAATCAACAGTAATCCTGCTCCCTGTGCACATATCTTGATAATATTTTGTTCATTATATTTCACTATAAATCATAAGTGCAGCTGGAAAAATTTCAGACTATTTTACACAAACTCATGATTTTTACAACATTAGTAGAATTGCTCTTTCCATGTACCCCTTTTCTTTCTTGTTCTCGTGGTCATTTGCAAGTCTGTTATCCTCTGCAAAAAAGATGCCTTTTTGGATTTTTAAGCNTTTTTTCATTTTGTATGGGAAGAGTGTTTCTATTAACATTTTTAAATTATTATTAAAATTCAAGTTGAAGTATTTTTTTCCCCATTGCTGGCCTCTAGTGTTGATTTCTGACTGTCATGTAATAATAATAATAATAATAATCCTTGCATTTGATATAGCGCCTTATCATGTCTTCTAGACGTCTATAGAGTCTATCTGGGCTTTAAGAAAAGGACAAAGAAACGCGGTCCAGATGTTTCATGATATTACTGAGGCTGAAAAGATTAATATGACTGAAAAACAAGTTGGGGAGAAAGGCATAATGTCTTCCTGTAAAGGTCATGCACCATTGCTTGGGGACGAAGCTCCCAATGATGGATTGAGTTTAAGTTCCTGCTGCAACATGTGATTGCTATTTTACCATACGAATGTGTAAATGTGCTTTTTAAAACCAAATCCTTTGATATTCAGAACTCCCCAGCTAACTCAGCATTAGGATGAAGTGGAGAGCAGTGAAAGTAATTCCTGGTCTGAATACAAAGATGGATTGGTGCCATGCAATCAGAAATCTAAACCTGTACAACAATATTTTAATGTGAACAAACTCTCATTGTCAGATTGTGCGTGTGTGTCTGCGTCTGTGTGTGTGAACACAGACCGTTTATTTTTGAAAAAGTCTATAAAATATGAAATACTTCTATTCATTCGAGCCGTTAGCAACTAAAGCACTGACTAGTAAACCAGCTATGTTATTATTTGGGCAAAGCAATACATTATTAGATTAAAAACTCATATAATTAGTGACAAATTAGTTAGCTCTATTGAAAAGCAACTCAGCTTGAGGATGTAAAAGTTGATAAAATGGAAAATATCTTGTTGGAAAGCAGGGGAGGGGGCAGGAGGAGGGTTAGTATTCTAGATCACAAGAGTAGTTTAGATGAAGAAGGTCCTTTGGCTTATTTGATCAAGCTATTTCTTGATTGAATCTAACGTTTTGACCTCAACTGTCCTTCCTAGAACCCTGTTTCAACTGCTGATTACTGTGGGTGTAAAGAAATATGTTCTGGGTTTTTTACTGTTCACGATACAGATATTCTGAAAGATTTGGAGGAGAATACTTATTACATATTGTAATGTTTGCTGATGATATCAAGCTGTATGTTTCAAGTCACTAATATAATGTTGATAAATTGCATTCAAGATTAACCAGACCAATTAAACAGATGAGCTAAAGGGTGGCAGATGGTTTTAATGTAGATAAATGTAAGGTAATTTACGGGAAGACAACATTCATGCATTGAAGGGATGGCCAATGGTAAAGTTTGAGATGTCTTTGGAGGGAAACGGTTTAGTTGTTTAGTATTTAGAGAAAAGATATACACATATGTCAGAGCAATAACTATTGTTATAAACTCATGAAAAAAGGTCATTGGCATGTTGGCTCATTGATAATCATCTTGAAAATACATCCATACCCAGTTATCAGAGTACTCTCTTGTACTGTCATGGAATCTTACAGGCATTACTGTTGAGACAAAAATAACTGAATCACAACTTTTTTGTTGAATTGTGTTGTACTCTAACACACGAGTCTTGATGATTTCCAATGTTCAACAATTTTACAGAAGATGTGATAGAATAAGAATGTTTTGATAGCAGTAAAATCGTGTTTGACGCTTGAAAGATTGATTCAGTTTGTGTTTGGAAATCCATTGCCAGATTTTGACAGAAAGCTTGTACTTTCATAAGGCTTCAACTTATTTTCTGTTCCCTACAACAGATTCAACTATTCTGCCCTCCTTGTCCCCAGTTTTATCAATAGCTGTGCCACTCTTCTATAAAGATACTATTTTTCTCTTGAAGATCTTGGTTTTCTAACAGGCTACTTCGTAATGTTCACTGAGCTGTTAAAAAAAAGCCAAAGGTATAACCTTCATCAAACGCTAAATGATCCATTGTACGGAACTGAGCCCTTTATACTTAAAAGTGTTTACAGTGTGATTGATTGAAATTGAATCTTCACAGGTTTCCCAGCCAAGTTGATAGAAATGGTTTCACAGAATAAACCTCTAAAGGCCCTGCAAGATCTTGCTTCATAATGTGAGCTGTCTCAGTTTTCTTGAGATATTATTTTGACTCGTTTTAGTTGGATCATTGCTGGTTATTCCATTTTGAATCTATTCATCAAAATTGGCCCTGATTTTGGGAGTGGGATGGGTGGGGGAATTAAATTGTCATGCATTTGTCTATGAGAAAACATTTAGGATAGCAATGAACAAATAATGCTTTTTCTGTTTACAGGTGCAAATAGTTTATAATTGAATAATACTCCTGAAGATAATCCGGGACCATAACTCGATTAATAAGTAAAATAATAAAGCTTGCATTTGATATAACACCATATCATGTTGTCAAATTATCTCAGTGCTTTACAGGATTTTGACAATGAGCCAGGCTGGCCGGAGTGTCGAGAGTACTACTAACTGAACCAGGCTGACATTATGTTAATAAAACCATTAAAATGTTCAATTTTTTTTATTGGTTACTATCAGCTGTTAAAGAGTTTTTGTTTAACTTCTAGAGTCTTCCTGCGAGCAATAAATCAGTATGCAGATGTGCTGAATAAGATGTTTCTTGATCAAACAAACTTTGAGTTGCAGGTAAGAGCATAGAAACTAATGCATTGAACCTTTTCACCATGAAATTCATTTGGAACTACAAAATTAGATCCTATGTTTACTGGTCGGTGTTCTATAAAAGAGCAAATTTAGAAACAATGCTTCAGTTGTGAGGTGCTCTTTATGTGGTACTTCAAAGGAAGAATATGTTTTCATCTTGAAAGATTGGGTAGAGAAAGTAAAGCACAAATTAAATTGAATCTTTAGTACCACATTGTCCTACAAAGTGAGATTAAGTCATTTTGGATTAGTTTTATTATCTCAGATGTACTTTAATAGCTTCTTAAGTAATAACTGTACAATAAATGATGTATAGAGGTTTAATAGCAGTAGTTAACTTGAGAAACGGTAGAACAGATTTTATTTTTGGAAATGTATCCATGGTTAGGGAGACCGAAAATTATATCTGAGTGGGATAAAAAAAGACAGCTAATCAAACTGAAACATTTTGCTGAACTGTCTTTAATTTAGTAAGGCAGATGAGATTATGTTAAGATGATATAATGGATATGATTTTCAATGTTCAAAGATGATACATCATGTAGGTTATGGAAACTTGAGTTTCTACATGCAGTAGATTGTAGGAGAAATGGAGGAGTGAATGGGTGCACAGAATTGAGGCCATAGAAAATAAGTAATTAGAGTGAAAGGTCTGATGAACTTTGATTTCAGTACAGTGCAGATTCAAGCAGTAGAAAACATCTCAGCCTTGAGTGACAATCAAACTCATAACCACAAATCCACATTATGTTGATAATCCAAATACCGTGAAAACTGATATTCTCTTGAAATATCACTAACTTTTTAATCTTAAGGGCATACTTGGCTTATAGAAAATGCCTCATCTGTACCTACCTACCTACCTACCTACCTACTTACTTACCTACCTACCTACCTACCTACTTACTTACCATGTTTATATCCTGCTTACTTCATTCTGGAAAGATACAGGTTGGAAAAAGCCAAGGCTTCCCCCATCCCCATTGCTGTTGAAAAACATAATTTAATGTTCTGTCCCTGGAGTAACAAAATACCATGCTCCTCCATACTGCTGTAAACACTGATTTACTTTTTTAATAACTTTCGCAGACTGGAGGTTATGAAACTTATTCCCATTAATCAGATTCTGAAAATATGCATAACATTTCTGTATGTAGCTGAACCAAGGTTCTGTTTTTGAATAGAAGTGTTTGAATCTTGAATTGTTTAGCACTATACTGTGATGTACCAAAAAAATGAATTTTGGCGGCTTGTTTGGCAAAAAGACAATTGAAATATAGGGATTTCAGTCTACAACGTCTTAAAAAGTAATTAGAATTATTGTAGTACTTTCTTTTGGAACATTCATAAGATTAATGGAATCTTTCTTGATGTGTTCTTTCAGACTTAGATCTTTGCAAGCTCCCCTATTCTTTAATGAGATAAATTTGATTACCTTTCCTACACAATATGTTAAGTTGTTGATTAAATAAAAAGAGACGGTAGTTGAAAGCATTTCAGAAACTTGGGTATAGAAGTAGTTACTTTCATTTGTTCAGTTTTTACTTACAAATATCAAATCCTGTCAATGGTGGGGTGGGTGGGGGTGGGGAGAGGGGAATGGGATAATTTCTGGGACCTTAAATAAACTAGTGATTTGGGCACTATGGCAATCTTACTACACACCCTGATTTGATGCATTCCCTGTTTTGGAACGTGATGTTGATTAATTTTCTAATGTAGTTGGTCGGGTAACGATCTTCTATCGAAACCTAGAAATACAATATCAATTTTCATTTTAAAAAGACCCTTTATCTGGGGAAGATGTCTCAAAGTGCTTAAAAATACTGGCTGGGCACCTGAGCAGAAGTAGAAGCTTAGAGGTGCCAGGGAGGAGAAAGATGATCGAAAGCACCATCCACCGATGTAGGTCTTGAATGAGGTGAAGGAGGGAGCGAGTAAGGTAGACTGGGGGCAGAAAGGCTGAAAGTCCGTCCACCGATGGTAGGGCATTGGGGACATGAAGCAGGCAGGTGCTCGCAGAGTGAAGGCAGAAGCATGAGAGACATTGGAAACACATCATCAATCTACATTAGTGTAAAGATGTTCAGTTGCCTTTCACCTGAAATTCTGTGAAAACGTTTTAAGACATCTAACATTCTGAGGTCTACTTTGATTGAATCAACTCTAGTTTGTGCCCAATCCTGGCCTTACAATACAACTGATCCTTCACAGCAAATAACAGTAATTGTCTTCAACATCTTTTCTTGTTACATGATGTCTGAAGGCAACTGAAGCTCAGCATTTGGACCCAGTGTGACTGATGAATCAGCTCCAACGTGATCATGGCTTAATTGTTCACAGCACAAGAGATATTTCAAATTCAATTTAGTACAGAGAGTTTTGCTGCCCTTCCCACTCATATAATACTCAAATGTAACCAATGAATGCTTGCTCTTAAAAATGAGTTGTATTGAGTGACTTGAAAAGCAACAAAGATTTGAGAGGATTTTGTTATTGCTTATGATTTATATGAAAAGCTGATGTTCTTTGAATTTGAAAATAACATTTACAGCATTCAAGTTTTCCTGAATAGTTGAAACCAAGAATGAACATTGAATTGAATTTAATACAGAATGTTTTTCACATTTACATGTGAGCAATGTATGTGGCATTTTGTCTAGTTTTGTCTAGTTGATGATTTCAAGATTTTATAGGTGAGATGGATGTAAAACCAGTTGACATTCTTGCATGATCTGTTTCCTTATCAAAACTGTTTTAGTAAAAATAGCCCTACTAAATGCGTGGCAGAAACAGTCAGTACCACATAATAACTTATGTGTGTTACATATGGATTTTACAGGAGATGAATGCCATTTTATTTGTGCAATAAATGACGACATATAGAGATTTTGCACCACATTAAATTGCAGTTCCTTCAATGCCATCATTAATTATATTACCTTCAAATACTGCTTTCTTTGCTGTAATGGAAAAAAGTTTTTAATCTACAAGGTTTGAGATAACGGAAATTCTCTATTAAAAGCCACTTGTGATTATATGGAAACTCATACACAGAGTGAAGATAGATAAGCTTTGCAATGATGTCACAAAGAAATGGTTAAAACATGATAAATAGAATACTGTTTGACAGATGGTAAACCACAAACTATTTCTAATCAGTTGATAACTGTTTGTGATTCCTTTTTCCATTGTCTAATTTTCAGTTGTGGAACAATTACTTTCACTTGGCTGTTGCGTTTCTAACACAAGAATCACTACAGGTGGAAAATTTCTCCAGTGCAAAACGTGCCAAAATAATTAACAAGTAAGTGGATGACCCAAATGAATAAATATTTTTGAAACAATAGTCTCAATGGTAAACGTTTCCGTTACTCTATGATTTGGATGGACAACTGGTGCCTCTCCTTCCTGTTTCTATCACCGTACTTTAATCCCTATACAGTAAAACACGATTATTATGCACTTTGGGTTGACCCGAGGTCGCTGAAAATGAGATTAGTTTGTGGATCTTTGACATTCTTACGTAAAAATCTGACATTGCGACATCCAAATTTGTCACCTCATTTCAAATTCTGTTGTTGGGCTTCCAAACGCATCATTGCAACATTGGGATTTGAAGCATGACAAGACAATCTCAAGTATATAGTTGGAACTTTCTGAGCAGTTTAACATGACTGGTCAAGTGATTGGCAACAGTACACTACAGAAACACTGACTCTTGATTTTTCCCCAGGTATGAGGCAGGTTGGAATTTTGCATACCCCCATCTACGACCTTCTAACCAGGTTTTGTTGCAAATTCTATGGTTACAGTGAAATTTCAAAAAATCTTACCACTGCACATTTAAATGGTTGCTGCTTTTCCAAGATAAATATAGGGTTTGAAACTAGTGGGTTTTTTTACACTGTGGCTCAGTTTATGTTGAAAATCTTTATTTTGGCAGATAAAAGCATGGCCTAGCTCCAGAAGACTAAAATCCAATAGACTTAGTTCAGGCTTGGCTATCCATCCTAGTAATTTGCCTCCTTGCAGTATCTCCCTTCAAGGATCAATTCCTATTTTTAATTGAAAAAACATCCTTTTCTATGCATATTTCACGTTATTATAATATATTATTCTCTTCAATTAGTTTCTCATTTTTATAGCAGATGAATTCCACTACTGCACTACATGCCGATAAAATGTTCTACCCAAACGAGCATTACATTTTGTTTCGTTGCTTTGTCAATTTGGACCAATGCTCAGTGTTTTGATTTTATCATTTCAGTGAAATCTGTCAAAAGAGCAATAAACTCTTGTTACTTTCAGGCTCAGATAATACCATCTCTATGTGTTAGTATATGTCTGTAAACAGAAAGCCCGATGAGAAGACTGTTGAAATGATCAATTTCAATATAACATGAAATCTAATAAACATTCATTACTGTTGAAGATAGAACTTTGTTTGGCAGCTTTGTTAGTCTTCCCGGTTTGTTATTTTATTCCTCTCTGTAAAGGACATTCTCACCTTTCCCTCTCTCCTCTTCTGAGAATGATGACTAATACTGGGATATTATTCCTCAGATGTAGTCAACTCGACATTCTTCACTGAGTGTTGGTAGCTATTTGTCCACAAGGGTATTGCATTTAAGCTGGAGCCAGATCTGACTTGTATCCATACAAATACAGTGCTCCCCACTATGTGTCTAACCCCCTACCAACCTGCCTTCTCCCTCTGCTCAGCAGGCTCTGGCCTGCTTCACACCCCCCGCCTTGCCCGCCCCACCATTGGAGGGTGAGCCTTCAGCCACTCTGCCTCCACCCTCTGGAACTCCATACCACAGTCCCTCTGCCTCGCCCCCTCCCTTGCTTCCTTCAAGACCCGTCTCAAGACCCTCCTCTTCAACTGTGTCTTCGATCACCCTCGTTTCCCCCTGCCCTCCACCTTCCCCGATCCCAACCCCCAGCTCGGATGCGAAACACTGACGTCCTCCCAATGTGAAAGGCGCTTTACAAATGTAATTTTGTTGTTTTCCTCTCAGACCAATTTAGTGTCGCTACTACTGCCCTGACAGAGCTTGGGGCCAGAACACATGATGCATTTCCCCCGTTAGCTAATGGGAAAAGCCTAACCTTTTGTCCTATGTATATTGTTTCTAGAGATCCTATTACAAATGCTGTACAATATTTTCCAGCATTTTTTACTTGATTATACTGAAAAATTGTTTTTGAATTTATTATTTTTTCTAATTCACTTTCAGCTCAGAAATCTTTTGTACTATAAATATTGATACAATTCTAGCTGTGAATAGAGCTATTTACAGTATGCTCTTAGAAGGAGGACAAATAGCATGTTACATAATAATAATAATTATGATAATCATCATTGCATCTGATATAATAGCTTATCATGTCATCAAAATATTATAAAGCACATCACTGTGAAGTGTACTGACTGTGTTTTTGTTGGTGAACACAGCAGTCAATGTGTGGGTAGTAATGTTCCACAAAAAGCCATAAAGTGAATGAGAATTGTTTTTAAATCGTGCCACGAAATCGTCAACAACCACCTGAATAGGCAGATGAGACTGAAGTTAACATTTCTGGTACCCGATTTGAAGCAATTTGAAGCGCTCCTCCCGATGTGAAAGGCGCTATATAAATGCAAATTGTATTACGTTGTATCTTACACAAAGGACCCCAGCACTGCACTGGGTTGACAGCTTAGATTACAATCTCAAAGTTTCTGATGTGGGTCTTGAGCTCACAACCTCCGACTCTAAGGCAACAATATGAGAGCATTATACAACTTCATTTCATTACATAGTGCATTTATCACCTCAATTTTGTATTTGCTACAGCTGTTTTAAATAGACTTTGCTGAATGTGCGACTCCTTTCCTCCACCAAGCACTATTGCAAAATTCACTCTTTTTCCAAGCAAGAGCTGAAACAGCACATGCCTGTCTGCATTCTGTAGTGATGAGTCTTTGGATTCAACTTTGAAGATGAATGCCACTCCGATTGTGCATTATCCTCGTGGGTCTATTTTCCAATTTCAGAAAACACACATTCATTTTCATAACTATAGCATCTCTCCATTATTGCATCGAGCTGCTTCTTAAATGAGTCCAGTGTTGTAGCCTCAAACATGCCAGCTGTTGGTTAGCCTGTAGTTAAATATATTCTTCAAGGTAGTGTCCTGAAGTTCCTTTCATAAATTTCAAATTTAGAGATGTTCAGAATGTGTTGCGTCAACCGTAACCTGGTAATTTTAGTGGGGTTTTTATTGAATTTTAACTACGGTATTTAGATAACTCTCACATCGACTGTTTTGTAATGTTATTGAAGCATCTGGTAATGTGACCAGCTCTTTCATAGCATTAAACTCCAATGTCAGTGTGATAAGCTGCATCTGTGATACTTTAATATCAATGGCCCTGATGTTATTTATGCATGAATCCTACTTCACACCCCACATTGCTTGACTGAAGGATGGAATATCACTTTGCTCCCAGCATTATTAACACAGCATTAAGGTGTTTGTACATGTCTGAAAATTATACCTAACATTAGGATTTGTCAAGATCCGATGACAAGTCAATCAATTCCAATTGACGTAATTAACTGGTTTATCAGCCTTGATATTACATTTTCAGGAACACTTTTATGATGTACATTATGACACTGTTAACAAGTGATTAACTGAACTACATCAAGCTCAGAACATACAATAATAAAACATTAAACAAATACACCCACTATCCTTTTATGAATACATTGATTAACGTATGAGAAATATTCTTTTTGAGAATTTCTTTAAATTTTCAACTATGAGCTTCTACACTATACTGGATGTTAAGAGAACAGGCGGTATTATATGCTCTTAAGTATAGGGGGATCCACTCAGCTGCCTCTGCCATTCCGCCTACCACCCCCTCCCCATCTCACCCTCATATCACGGTCCCTACTTATCCCTCCAAATCTTCAAACCTGTCTCCCACTCCTCTCTCACCACCACTATAACCCACATGAAAACAACCACCTGCTCCCTCAACCCCATCCCTACCCCTCTCCTTACCTCTCAGCTCCATCTCCTTGCCCCTCTACTCACAGAAATCATGAACCTCTCCCTGTCCACTGGCACCATTCCCACCCTTTAAAAACAGCCGCATCGCTCCAATCCTTAAAGAACCCTCCCTGGACCCATCTCTGCTCTCAAATCACTACCCCAACTCCACCCTCTCTTTCATTTCCAAGGTCCTGGAACGAGTCATCGCTTCTCAGCTTCGCTCTTTCCTCTCCCGCCACTCCCCTCATGAACTCCTTCAATCAGGTTTCCAAGCTGCCCACAGCACAGAAACAGCTTTGGTCAAAGTGACAAATGGCATTTTGTCCATTCGTGACCTGGACTCCCTCTGACTCCTCGTCCTCCTTGACCTCTGTTGCCTTCGATACTGTTGACCGCTCTATCCTCCTCCACCGAAAGTCCATCCGGTAGTCCTTCCACCCTGCCCCCTCCCTTGCCTCCTTCAAGACTCATCTCAGAACCCTCCTCTTCAACTGTACTTTTGAATACCCTCCTTTCCCCCTGCCCTCCACCCTCCCAAATCCCGACCCCCAGCTCGGGTCCGAAACAGTGATTATATTTCCAGCACCTTGGGACATCCTTCCGACATGAAAGATGCTATACAAATGTAATTGGCCGTTTCAACTAGAAATTACTTTAATTATCCGAAATTACATTGGAGCAACTTTCGTAAAATCAGCTCACAGAGCAAACCTCGTTTAAAATAAAATTTATTTCCGAACACCGTCTTCCATTTTTAATTGCATTTGCTCTTTAAATTTAACGTTTTCTAAATATATTCTGTACCTTCAGTGTCTTAATGTTCGCTCACCTACAAACACACCATCACTACACTTAATAGTAAATCCTGTGGAATGTTTTGAGAATTCTCGATGACGTGATACAATGCAATTTGCATTTATATAGTGCCTCACACATCAGGAGGACATCTCAAAGTGCTTAAATGAGGCAGCTATATCAATTGTAAAGATTATTATTAATAATAGCTCTGTTTTTAAATGAGCCCAAGGATGCCAAGTTAATTTTGTACTTTGTTTTAATTGAAGATACGGTGACATGAGACGACAAATTGGATTTGAGATCCGAGATATGTGGTATAACCTTGGTGAGTCACGTCTTCTCCCTTTATTGGCTGAATTGTAAGATGTTTAATTGACGCAGTCTGCAAAATAAGCACCAACATTTACTTTGTCCTTGTCAGGCTAACAATGATAAACACAGCGTCTTGTACAACTGAATAAATTACACAAAACTGCATAACTGCATTTTTTCTTAAAAGATTTCTTACTTAATTTCAAAGGAACGTTTATTCCATTTGTTGATTTTAAGAAAGAAAAAAACTTTTTTGTCAGTATTTTCATTTGGGATTTCTATTCAACTGGGCTGTTCATGTATTGCTTTTGAACCGGGTTATTGAAGAATTGCTTTCTATCCATTACACTACGCACTGTAACTAAGAAAAGAGGGAACTGCTTCTGACACTTTACAGAGCTTCATGACGTTAGTATTACAGATGATTTATAGGCCAGTGTATCCAGCAGTGGACATCTGAAGTATCAGTCTAGCAGCTGCAATATTTGTCAACTAAACCTTAAGCATGTCAATATAGAAAAGGTAAGGAAGCCATTATCATTGTTAGTAAGCTTTGGAAATTCATTTTATGACTAAACACATGTCTAAAATTGTTATTTTATTGGTTTTAATTCAATCTCTTTTCTGTGATGTAAAAACAGTCAACTAATAAGCTTCAATTCACTTTTATTTTAATCTATGAGCACTTTTCTCTTCTTTGTCTTTACAGGCCAACACAAAATCAAATTTATCCCAGAAATGGTGGGTCCAATCTTGGAAATGACGCTTATTCCAGAAACTGAGCTCAGAAAAGCAACGATTGCCATCTTCTTTGACATGATGCAGTGTGAATTTCACTCGACAAGATATTTTCATAAGGTAAGTTAATTCAGGAACATGTTGAACATGTTTAAGGGCTCTGAGATGCTACCCTGCATGAAGGGCGCTATATAAGTGCAAGTTGTTGTTGTAGTTGAAATTCATATACAGGAGGGGAACCCCATTATAACACAGGAGCCTGGCTCCAATATCTCAGACACTGCTTTTTTTAAAAAAAAGTCAATGTCTGGGTCATCAATCATTACCAATGTCCCTTCTTGCACACATACATCATGCAGAAAGTGAGGCAAGTGGTGTTTCCTGTGCATATCCCACTTGTGCAGCAGGCAGAAAGTGATGTCCGTGGTGCTATCTTCATATCATCAAGGAAATGATATCGGTAGTAAGCTGACGACTTGGAACAGGAAGCTAATTGGTCCATATGAACAGCAGCAAGAAGTGGGAACTCATTTCCAATAACCGCAGGTCCACAGGGCGCCCACATTAAAGGCATATTCGCACCCCAGCGAGGTGCGTAATAACATCAATAGAACTTTACAAACAGCAAATGAGTATTTACTCCACAGGAAAAAATATTTTTACCTGTCCAAATAGTTCCAGTAGTTTATGCAATCTAAATGCACATAAATAGTGTTGAAAGTTATCTGTATTGATATTTCACACTACCAACCAAATCTTGTTCTATGTAAGTGAAAATAATTACTCGGTGGCCTGCTCCAGTGATTTAAAAATAGCTGTCAGCCAGTGGAAGCAAGATTCAGATGCTAGTCATATTTCACATGGAGCACGCAATCTTTTGTAGCAACATGAATTTCACAATAGCCCAGAATAACAACAACAACAACCACAACAACTTGGGTTTATATAGCGCCCTCCACGCCGGATGGCATCTCAGAGTGCTTTACAGTAACGGATCCCGGGGCCGAGCCAGGGGGAGGGGGAGGAAGGTGACCAAAGGAGTGGTCGAAAAGAAAGGTCTTCAGCAGAGACCTGAAAATAGGAAGAGAGGGGGGAAGTGAGTGAGGAAGGCAGTTCCAGAGCCTTGGGGCGTAGTGGCTGAAGGCACGGCTGCCGAGGGTAGAGCAGAGGACTCGGGGGACAAGGAGGAGGCCAGACCCGGAGGAACGTTTTGAGGAGAGAGGAGGTCAGAGAGGTCGGGGGTGCAGAGGAGTGGAAGCATTTGAAGACATGGGTGAGGATCTTGAAGTCGATCCTCTCTGGGACAGTGCAGTCTGGCAAGGACTGGGGTAATCGGGGAGCGGAGTTTGGTGCGGGTGAGAATGTGGGCGGCAGAGTTTTGAATAATCTGGATTTTGTGGATGGGAGACGGGTGAGGAGGGCATTTGAATAGTCCAGCCGAGAGGTGACAAAGGCATGGACCAGGATTTCAGTGGCTTTCGAGAGATGTATTGACAGAGACGGGTGATGCGTCGGAGGTGGAAGAAAGCAGTGCTGGTGAGGGACCGGATGTGGAGGAGGAAGGATAATTGGGGGTCGAACCTGACTCCTAGGTTGTGTACGGGTTCGGAGAGTTTTAGGGGGAGGTCGGGAAGTTGGAGGAGGTGAAAACCGTGAGATTTTAGACGTTGACGAGAGCCAAACAGTATGGCTTCTGTCTTGTCAATGTTGGAAATTTGCGCTCATCCAGTAATTAACATCAGGGAATCTGGTTTATACGCCCTGCTCCTATTCACATTGGGACGAAGGAGAGGAAGAAATAATTCTTCATTCACTTATACAATGGTCATTTAAAATCTCTTGAACATCCTTGAATCTACAGCACCGGAACCATGGCATTTGGCCCAAATAATGCATGCTGGTGTTTGAGCCTCTTGAACCTTCACCCATCCTCATTGCCTTCTCCCTCATTTATGTATCAAGTTTGGTCCTAAATGTAATGATACTTTATGCTTCAAATATGACTTCTCCAAAGTGACTTTTAAATTCTGACTGAATTTAAGAAGTCTTCACAATTTTGCACAGTCTTCGAAGCGAAAATGGTCTTTCCACTACGACCAGGTAGAATTTCAGGCCTCTAGGAATTAGTGTTTTCCATCTGAATAATCTTTTTATTGTTGTTCCGAAAAGCATTATTTCCAGGTTATTTCAGGTCTGGAATTATTGAGGGGAAAATGCGCATTGAAAAATGACAAATAAATGCATCTGTCAGAAGTAAAGATTAACATGCTGTTTGAGATGCAGGAATCATACGTCCTTGAAGCATAACATCATTGATGACTGAACAGTGCTCCACACCAGTTATTTTTATCTCACACTCTTGGTCCATTGCCCATATCTCAGAGAAACGTGAACGTAAACAAAACTGTGACTGTGGCAGGTTGTCCAAGGTTGCATTCATCTACTGTGATGCTATCAGGAATGTGAGTTCTGTTGGCCACATTCCCAGTAGAACAGATTAGTGATGCAGTGGTTTAATAAAATAGTGTTGTGTTGGCTCTGGTATTTTGCTGTTGTATTCATTTTGCCACAATTGTGTTACTTAAAAAGTGTAAGCAAAATATAATGACCACTACCAACCAACCTGCCCACTCCCTCTGGTCTGCTCCATGTCTCCCGCCCGACCCACCCTACCATTGGTGGCCAGGTGTTAGAAATAAAGTTAGCTAACACCCGTTTGCAACCAGATATTAGACTGTTTTATTGATCGTTATTCCCCAGTTTCCCAATGGGTAGAATAAAGGCAGGTACAATCAATCGATTTTATAACGGAAAAATACTACCGTAGATGATTCACGCTCAGCACTGTGTCTTTACAGCATACAAACTCAGCACTGTGTCTTTTCAGCATACAAACTCAGCACTGTGTCTTTACACTTGTTGCTTCCGGCTTTCAATCTTCCATCTACCCGTACTTTGGAGACATCTGTCTTTTTCCTGTTCTTACTCTTATTTTATCCTTTGCACCCGAGCACACTATGCCCCCTAATCTATTTTGCAAGTTACCGACCTTATTTGGGTATTCACGTGGTCCTGCAACATGTTAGCCACAACTTCTTCCTTATCACTCATTCTTTCAGCCATTGTATTTACAGTAAAAGTCACAAAACCAACGTTCTTAACTTATTCCCAAATATGGTCTTTGACCCCTGGACAGCTTGGTTTTCGTACAACAACTGTTTTCGTCAGCAACTAGCATTGGTTTCAGCAAAAGCAGTGTAGCACAATCAGCTCAGCATTGCAACACAACCTTGTTTTTACTCCTAACAGACAATTTCAGCCATAACACAGGCTTTCAGCCTCTCTGCCCCCACAGTCCCTTGCCTCCTTCAAGGCCGGTTTCAGGACCCTTCTCTTCGATCGTGCCTTCAGTCGCCCTCCCCCTCTCTGCCTTCTCTCACAACCACCCCACCCCTCCCCCATGCTCGGATCCCTGACTGTCCAGCGCCTTGGGATGTCCTCCCTATGCGAAAGACGCTCTATAAATGTAATTTGTTGTTGTTGTTGTAATTAATGTAGCTAATGTTAGGAATTTTATGAGTTCATATTTTAAATAATTAATTAATTGAAAACTATGAATAATAATTGATCCTCCAGAGCTAGCAAAAAGTTACACAAAATTTGACAAGGTTTTCACACTACATCGTGTGCTGATAGCAAAGTCCTTATTGTCCCACAGTTGCCATTTTGAAATATTTTACCACTTAGTCAGTCAAGAATAATAGGTGATTTACTGTCACATGCTTCTCTTCACCAATTTATAAATCATTGAAGCTTCAACAATAAATGAACATTTTGCATTACGCTAATAGTTTGCTATAATGCTAATTATTCAAGGATTATTATTATTAACATTCCTGTTTAATTATAGTTTGAAAATGAGATCATCACCAAGCTGGATCATGAGGTGGAAGGAGGCAGAGGAGATGAACAGTACAAAGTGTTGTTCGAGAAGATGTAAGTGTCAATTGATGGAAAAAAATATATTCCATAACACAACAGTTATACTGTAACATACTTTATGGCTTTATGTGTGAATAATCTGCAGCATCCTAACATTGAGAGCTCTAAATTTGACCTCAATTTTTTTAATACATGCATGAAATTAATAATCTGTTTGCTACTCTATCCAGCCTTCTAGAACATTGTAGAAAGCACAAGTACCTTGCTAAGAATGGAGAAAACTTTGTCAAGCTGGTGGTTAGGCTTATGGAGAGGCTTTTGGATTACAGAACAATAATGCACGATGAAAACAAAGAAAACCGCATGAGTTGTACAGTGAATGTACTGGTAAGTGCTCACATCGATTTTTGTATTCCACAAAGGTGGTGAATTTCAAGACTGTGTGATGTGTGTTCTTACATCAGAGATGTGATTCTTTCCAGTGTCTGCTGTGTGGCTCGCACAAAGCAAGAATTCATGGGTGAAGGACAGAGGAGTGCAGAGGCTGAATTTCACTTTTGCTCTGAACAGCATTAAAACGTTTTTTTTAAAAAAGCTCACTGATAATTTATACACGCAAATAAGGCAGAAAAAAATCAGTTCTGGAAATTCTATTTTTTGATACCTTATCATTAACACCCTTTTCAGGTATTGATGAGGGTGTCGTATATTTTAATACTGCAATGTGCTAAATTTCTATTAGCGTAGAAAATGTTGCAATCAACCTTTCTACTGCCATTAAAATATGAGCTGATCATCAAGGAAGCCTAGCAAAGAGAAGCTGGAGGTGAAGGCTTCATAGAAATTTGGGTATTTTGAGCACAAATCAAAATGTTGTGAAATGATGTCAATGATTATTGGTGCCATTCAATTTTGAAAGCTATACAATTGTTTTTCTAACACCAGAACAGTTTCTTGTTCATTTCATAGAATTAATTAATTAAATGATGACTGTAAGCGTGGCTGAGAGAGTGGCTCATTAATTTTTATCAGACAACACATCATTGTAATAAAATTCCAGTTTAATAAAAATAGAAATCAGGTCAAACTGTGACAAATATTTGTGCATTGGATATATCCTACTTTGTTAGAGACATTAGTACAGATAATATATATCTCAATGAAAGGATGCACAATTCATCAGTTCTGTTCAGTGATATGTGAGGAACAGTAAACGCTAATAAAATATATAATGTAAATGGACACATGAAGCAGATGGTCTTATTAATTCTGGAGCATTGCCTGCAGAAGCTAAATAGTTTAAGAATGTCTGTGTCTGTCGCCTTATTGGTTCAGTTGTGTTATAGTTGTAAAATTTACAGTGAAACACTGACTATTAGGCAGCTAAAACAAGTTGCTAAAATAACAGAATTTGTTAAATGTTCACGAAATCTCTGAAATGAATTTAAATGTGAACCAAAGGAAATAGATGCCCAGATGTTCGAATGCGTCAGAAGCTCCAGTAGCTATTTAAGTTACTGTATATTGTCGAATAATTCTTTATTTCTGCTAAATAAAGAGCAGTAAATAATTTATGATTTAAGAATGTTAGTACTGACCACATTCATGTAAAGTGTATGTTTCTCTGCAGTTCTTGGTTTTAATTGTAATGAAAGTTCAAAACAAATTAATTTAATTTTTAAATGATTTTAAAGAGCGGATACATTTTAAACTCTCTGTACATGCACTTGTCTAGAAGCAGTAATGCAAGGTGTAGTGTGTTGTATGCACATCAATATGGTTTAATTGTTTCAGCTGTACCAAGGACAAACTTGCTGCTTGTTTTACAAAAATTGAAAGTCTTGTAGCAGTGTGCTCACCACCTCTCTGTTTACTTTTGCTTTCCAAAATTTAAAAATAATCTTGAGGTTGGATAATTGAAAAGAGTTGACTGTGCATTTTGCTCTTTGAAGTCATTTGAATTTTTGGGGTGCTTTTTAGGCAGAGAAACAGTGTAAGAGGTCAAGAAGCAAACCAACAGCTTCAAGGAGAGTGACTTGCAGATTACGATGGGAGTGCTTTACATTCTCAGACAATGTATTTGTGTCACAAAATTGTTGGTGGAAAAAATGCTTCCTTGTTTCTATTTCAGAACTTCTACAAAGAAATTGAGAGAGAGGAAATGTACATCAGGTATGTAAAGATTTGCAACACCCAGCAAAAGCTGTAAATTGAGTTGTGAAATGATTTATTTCCAGCATTCAGATGAGGGTTTGTTCATATATATTCTTCCTAGCTCCATCCGTTGTGACAATAGAAACCTTTTTCAATGGAGTCAATTCAAGACAATATAGTTTTTATACTAACAATGTCCTCCACATTTCTGAACCAAGGATATTTTCTCCCAATTTATGGAAGACAATGACAGAGTGTGCTTTCAAGTTTTTTTCCCACTATAAGTCCATATCATCGGATTGATAAATTTACCAGGAAAAGGAAATTGCTCTCTGAGTTATAGTAATAGGTGACATTTCCCTTCTATTCTAAGTTACTGAAGGAAACTAAACTTTCATTTTTTAATTGTCGGTAAATTTACCAATCATAAATTATAAGTGCAAATCTCCAGATGTGTATTTGGGTTATCAAGGTTAATTCATTTTCCCAATATTGTAATAATCACCCTTTAATATCTAGCTTCTAGTATTTTATTCACTCATTGATGACAATTGGTGCAGTATCCATCAAATACCACTACATTAAATGCAACTATGATGTAGTTAACCAGCTTTGCATACGTTTCAAAGGATAGTGTTTTCTAATCAAAACATTACCATTAAAGTAGTTTATGTGCCAGTATTTTTCTATTTTCATTGATCTATTAAAAAAGACACATCAGTTTCATTCTGCTTACAATCTTTTTTAAAATTTGTTTTTATCTGATACGTAATGATTGCTATTGAGAAAACTCCCATTTTATATTCAGTTCACATTTAAAATTGATGTTGCTTTCTTAGGTATCTGAACAAATTGTGTGATCTGCACAAAGAGTGTGATAACTACACTGAAGCAGCTTACACCTTGTTGCTTCATGCAAAACTCCTAAAGGTAATAAATACTTCCAACATGTTTTGTTAAGGTTGTAAAATTAGTTTGTTAAAATTATAATATTTGGGGAGTTTTATTACTAACTACATGAAGCTAAATTGGTGTACAGTGGAGCCTGCCATTTTGGATAATGAAACCTCAGTGAGGCATGGTAGTGGTGGCAGATTCCCATGTTAAAAGAAGAATGGGTGGCTTTGAGGTCATTAGGTCCCTGCAAACATCACTTTCTGCTTGCTGGACTTGCACAGTAAAGTCGGACGTGATGTTGGCAATGACTAACTAACACTGAAGCCAGCCATTTTAGCATGGAAATAACATGGAAGCTGGCCTGCTGGTGCGAAGGAAACTTTAGAGAGAGTTTTGTGAAGGGAAACTAAATTAATAGCTGGAATTAAGCACTTGAGTTATGAGTTGCCCGCAGAGACAAAAGATGCTAATACGATAGAAGAGAAGGCTCAGGGAGAGCTTCTACTGAGGTATTCACTTGTCACAAATGCTTCCAGTGGACTCATGTTCACAAGAGAATTAGTCTGATAGAAGATTTTTTTCCCACTGCTTTACATCCTCGCACTCAGTGATTTATTTCAGCCAGATAGACTGAATAGTAATTTTTGCATTCCTATATTCCACATAGGAAAATAGAAAGTGCTCTTTCCAATAAAAGGATAAGTCTTCATGGATTTTTCTTCCCTGGAGATAGAAAGCTCCTCTTGTGATGTGCAGCTGCATCTGGAAGCTCAGTTGAAAATGAACAGAAAATTTGCTCACTGGGGGCTGATGGTGAATTCAGACAAAGATCTTCAGTGAAATATTTCACCACTAGTGCAGCAGAGGCTGATATTAGTTATTTATTTAACATTAAAACCACTTAGAAATTGAGACATTGTCAAAGAAGACGTCAGCTCTCCTGCTGAAATAAATGGAGATGATAGTGACACAAATTTCACATGCACGCCTGGGCTCTTTAATGCTGTCATTCGTTTTCCAATGGGTTGGATGAAGTGAGACATGGTATAAATAGAGAAGCTGAGGTGTTTAATACGTTGCTCAACTTAAGAAAATAGTTTTGTAATGCATAGCAATGCTGACATTTTCCATCTGTCTATTGTTGGTGGCAAACTTGGTGCATTCAAAATAACAGAGACATTTCAAAATTCAGGACGGAGAAAAGTAAACAAAATGAGTAACATGGGAAAAATATAACATGGAAGACCCAGCTGGAGAGTTCTGCCCTGGAGAGGCAGCCAATTTATAGAGGAGAAAATGTGAGATGTATAAATATGATTGCAATGAATTAGTGTTAAATAGTTCATTTATTTGTGCTTCTACATGGCACACGGTGACTCATTTAACTATCAAAAGTGAATCACGACCTCCAGAGAATGGCCATTTCCAATATGAACTTGGTGGAAATAAACTGTTTTTAAATCTGCTTAAATCATTCTGAATAAATTTGCATTCATAGTCTCTCGTGACTCTGTAGAATTTAAATCACAATTCAAGATCATGGCATTCTTATGAAATGTCTCTCTTAATTCTGTTGATGTGCCTGAGGTCCCGAACTAATATTTTGTTCTGTTTATGCTGCATTTACTGATGTAGAAATCAAGAAATTAAACTTGTTGTATTCCTTTTTATCGATTTTTTCCATTAAATATCAAATAGTTAAATATCAAATTGATTTAGAGATAGATACATCATTTGCGAAAGGCACAACTATACATATATAATTCAAGTTTCTCATCATTTGCATTGTGAGAATTCTTCTGTTGATTACACTATTTCCTATGTAAGTACCATTGATCCTGTTGGCATTTAATATTCTTCCGACCCCAAGACATGCGGACCATGGTAGATTTGTTGGGCCGAATGGTCTATTTCTAAGCTGTAATGATACCATTCACAGATAATGTGAATTATCTAGCTGCAGGTACCTGATCGTCCTTAGTATTTTTGCAATTTACATTATACTGTACCATCTACTGTATTGGCTAACATTCTTTTGAGTTGCTAATGATAATTTTTTTTGTTTAAGTGGTCAGAGCAGCCCTGTGCTGCCCACCTCAATCAGAGAGATGGATACCAAGCACAGACCCAAGGACAGCTTAAAGAACAGATTTATCAGGAAATCATCCACTACTTTGATAAGGGGAAGGTAAAATCATTTTGTAGTGCTATATCAATATAAACCAATGTCACTGAATATGCGTAGCAGCCAATAACATTTCTATGCATTTCGTTTCTGTACAGGTCTGGCAAATATTGCTTTTGAATTGCCACTCAAAAGCTTATGTAAAATTAAAAAGTAAATATGTCATATCTTTACAAGATATCAAGCAAAATAATCATTCCTCGCAAAGTATAGCAGATCTGTTTGTATCCTGCAGAAGTCAAGTTCATATGATGGATTAATAGCTTTTGTGCAGAGCCAAGTGTAGTAAATGTTGTTCGGGAGCTGGAAAGATCTTCTGAAAGTTGTATGCTGTCCAATAAATGTAATGCTGGCTGCAGTGATCTAGGAGGCCGATCATTTCTGTGGCAATTGAGATATGAACTGCTAGTGGTAACCCAATAGTAGTGAAAATATAGGTAATAGGGCTGCAGAAGCACGTTATCAGTGTGTTGTTCTATTTCCTTGAACCTCTTCTCCAAATGAGATTTAGAAATAGGAAAATGCATTGAAACAATCAAGTGAGTGGTAGGTGATTTTTTTTGTTTGAAAAGTAAGTAGCACACATATGAATACATTGTTAAAATCGTTAAAATTTTCTGTTGGTGATGAATGGAGTGTGAAGACCACCATTTTTTTTCAAATGTTATTTTTTTTCTGATTAAACCATTCTAGCAGCATAAAAATGATTTTTTTCTAGCATGAAATGTCTTTTACTGATCGCAAAAAGAGTACAAGTAGAACTTGAACCATGACTGTGCATGATACTCAAGAAAGCCTCTCAAATTTCAAGAGGACACGATCACAATAAACATATCAATGACCTGGGGCAGAAACAAAAGCTGACTGTAGAAAACAGTGGATCTACATCGAAAAGAAGTAATGAAACATAAAAAGACTAATTTGCTTGCTGGATGAATATTTCAAACTTCTGGGCAGCAAAGATGGCAGCTCCTCAAAATCAAAACAATGGATCCATTATCAATCTTGCATTTGATATGGCGACGTTCACCTTGGGAGGATGTCTCAAAAGAGCTTCACAGGATTTTACTGAAGTAAAGTGCAGTGAGCGCAGCAACCAAATTGTGCACAGTAATATCTCCAAATCAATTGAAGTGAATACACAATTTTATCAAGGATACCAGGAGAAACTCGTGTTTTCGAGTAATGCCATGAATCTCTGTAATGTCCACCTGAACAAGCATATAAGATTACAGTTTAATATCTCATCTGAAGGACAAACAACTATCTGGTCAGTGTAAAATGCTCTTGTTAAAAAATTCTCTATAGTTGATGTAACATAGAAACAGTGCTCACACTGTCTTTCTTAATCTGCTTACTAATAGTTGTTGTGGAAAAATATATATAATATATATATATATGAAACCATGGAAATGACGTGGATTCCTCTCTCTCCCACTATGTGTGACCTGCACAAATTCTCCTAAGCTTTTCTGCTATCTAAATACATTTCCAATGCATTTTGTAAAGCAGAGAAATTAATAGAACAATATCCTTGTCTCCACAGATTAACTCTCCACAATTTCCTGCGGCAACTACTATTTCACAGCACACACAGTGATAAGCACAATTAGATGTTGATTCCTCCAGCAAGAGGAACCAGCACCACTAACAAATTCATGCCAACCATAGACTTGTTCCCACTGCTTCAAGCAGACTAAAACCTTTCAACTATTGCTGGATCCTTTGCAGGGCCTTATTTGCAGTTGATCATTTTGCATTGTCAAAGTGCCCTTAGACTGCAATAACACAAGGGCACTTTGACAATACAAATTGGATGAGTTCCCCCACCCCACTCCCCCCAAAAAAAACTTAAGAAACTTGCTGATAAAACATTGCAGCGATAAAATTGTCCTTTTTCATCAGACCACTAACATTGGCCAACACCCAAATGGATATTAGCATGGCATCATAAAGTAGGGTTAAGCATATATGGCAGAGCAGATTGGCTCTTTGGTTTGAAAATAATAATCCTCTTCCATCCTGTTCTGGGATTTTACCATTAGATTTCTGTTGAATCTTCTAAAGCTGTTCTGTTGATAATCTGAGGGCATTATCAAATTCTCCTGTGTCTGAAGTAGTCCTTAATCAAGAGTCACCACCCTATGGAGTAATGGTTCTTCCAAAAGCTTGACAATCAATACTTGGTTGACCACCCAATAAAAAAAAGGGGACATTTCTAGAAAATATATTGTTATGATTTATGATATGGCCCTACAACAATGTCCTTTTTTCTAAATCATATACACATTATGACACATAGCCTACTTAATGAAGTGAATAATAAAGAGAGAAGATTGATTGGGCTTCAGTGTGTCTGGTGTCTGTCTTGAGAGGTTCTTGCTGCTGGTTGTGCCTGAATAGTTGATGTGTGGATCTCTGGCTAGGTGTAACTGGTGCCAGGACAGAGTATTTTGTGTGACTGGTCTGGGGATGGAATGGGATTGGTGAGCCCAATGACCTTCTGTTTCTTGGGACAGCTCTCCCCATGTTTACTAGTGATTGGTGTGCCTTTCCTCCTTCATCATTGCAAGTTCTGGAGTCCCATAGTGTAGTGGTTAGCATGCTCACCTTGCAAGCGATAGGACTCAGGTTTGATTCCCGAGCAAGGGGAAACCTCAGACAAGGTTCCATACTGCACAAACCTCTGTTTACCTATAAATTAGTAAGAGCCCAGTTAGTCGATTGGCGGATTGCTTCCAGGGGGTAATAATCCCTTCAAAAAATTGGTCACTCCATCCACGACTCTTTATGGGACACTGCTGTGTGCAATTGGATGCTGAGTTTTTACCACAATAATAATCGATCCATTTAAAATATATTTTGTGAAGTGTTTTAAAATGTCTTAACAATGTAATAAGGTGCTATATCAAATGCAAGAATTATTATTGAAGACCAAAACTATTCAACTTTTGACAATCTACAAATTATAAATGTTGATTGGAATGTTTTGCGTTCGATATTTTCTGATTTACAGATATTTTACAAGGCAATACAGCCAAAAGCTACATTGAAGTATATATTGAATTGAACGTCTCAAGTAAAAAAATATTTTACTTGTTAGGTTTCCTGGTTCTTGAAATGCATGTTTTTTTTTCTAATCTCTCTGCTGTATCTTTCTCCTCTTCGTGCCAATTTATCAAACAAATTTCCATTGAAGCAGTCAGTATGTTGACCGTTAACCCACTTGGATGCATTTCTTATAGCTTTTGCACTACAGTCATTTGTGGTGTTCTTTTGTTCTGTATGCTGCTATGAATATATCTGTGCGGTGGTTGACTTGATTTATGACAATTACAAAAGTGAAATTATTTCCTGAACACATTTACATGTCTGCATTTCCAATATGTACATTGCGAATAATGCACCAATCCAATCGAATTCCCTGTACATAGGGTTTGTTGAATAAATTGAAGACACCAGTCAGTATTAATATATTGTTCCTCCAGATTAATTGGCATTCAATTTATTTTCTCTTATTGTAGGTTCTATGATTTAACCGAAAAGAGATGGATCATATTCTCTTTAATCTGCTAGTATTGTTGACTTGGTTGATTGTTACTTATAGTACATATAGAAGTGCACCATGTCAGTACATTAATAAAATGGCATCCCTCCTACCTCTATAAGTGCTCATTTTGTCTTTTGTGTTGTTCAGTATTAAATATTTATGCTGTTAATCAATTTTCACTGATATTTTGAAAATTAATATTGATATTGCTATAAAGTAAATTTAATGCCTTGATATGGGCCTTCATACTGTTACTGTGTCACGTACACATTCTGGGCTGAGTTAGGTGATCCAAATTGNAAAAAACAGAGGGAAAAGTACTTTTGGTCTCGGTCCCCTGAGTTTAAGGGCAAACAGATTAGCCAGCGTTCTATTCAAGATTGTTACAAGGTGAGTCCTGGTAGAGAATTGCACAAGTTGTTGAACACGTGCTTAGCTTGTAGTTAAACCTTCTGCCCCTCGCTATCCAGTATCAGAGCTCCATGGTAGATATGATACTGTTCCCTGTTGAAAAATCAGGAAGGCAAATATTTATTGTTGTTTTTAGACTTGTGATGCTTTTAGACAAGGGTCAGTTTGGTGTAGACAAGATTGCCAATAAAGTACTTAGAGGAGCAGTATATCAGATACACTTGAAGCATTAAACCCTTACCAACTTTCTTCTGGAAAATACATGGATTAAAGAAAGCAGTGTTCATAGAATCATTCCACACTCTTATTAGCTAACACACCAGGTTATTATTCATTTATTGCAGAGCTCTTATACCCATTCAGCTATTTTCCTTTTGAAAGAAATTTGCATTTCAAAGCATATCTAATTAAACTCCATTCCAATACAGACAGGCCTGATGATGATCAGAAGACAGAATATGCATCACATCCATGTTAACAGTACCTGTTAAACATTTAATAAGGAGGTTACATCCCTAATGAAACTTAAAAACATGTATTCCGAACACGTTTACTTTGATAAATAATAACTGTGTCTGTAAATCGCAGTATTTTAGATTAATATTCTATCAATTTACAACCGCTGCTGCCACCATGTTGTTGTAATAGGTCTATATACTTTCTCTTAAAATGCTTCTGCAGACCTAAATTATGGTAATTATCTCTTTATTCTACACACGTTTTCTTCAACTGGCTCAAACCAATTTTTTTTTACCATTGTCTCTCGTACTCACCACCAACGTAATCATAGTTCCACAATTTTTCATTGATTATACAATAACATTAGCAATTTGGTTTCTTGAAAGGTCAAGTGATGAGTTTTTTTTCTGTCAGTTGCACCTTACTTTTACTGAATGATTAAATATGCATTTCTATATTGTCTGTGGAGATAATGTATTACTTTTACAGTAGTAATAGAGGTGTCTTCCAGAAACACTATTACTGACAAAATGAAATTGTCACCAAATTTAACGCATTGTTTTTGAAAATGATTGTTAAAATTGAACTCTGGTTAATCTTGTGACCACAAGATTAATCAGCATTCATTTTTAACAATAAGCATAGGATTAATAATCATAGAATTAAATTGTTTCTAGCAAAGAAAATTTGAAGTGAAATTATTAACCTTGTCATAATTGTTAAGACTACGTGGAAACACAGTCAATAGTCATTTATTAATAAGTGACTGGAAAACCTTTTAAATATTTCTCTCATGTTGGATTTTCTCTTTTGTTACTCAGATGTGGGAGGAGGCCATTTCTTTGGGCAAAGAGCTCTCAGAACAATATGAAAATGAGATGTTTGATTATGAACAACTGAGTGATTTGCTGGTAAGATCTGAAATGGCAAATGCTGCAAAATGCTTTGCAATTATTGTGTTACTTTTTGAGATGCTATTGGTTCAATTATTGCATGCCTTACTTTTACAGCAAAAACAAGCCCAATTCTATGAGAACATTGTTAGAGTGATTCGAGCCAGGCCTGATTACTTTGCAGTTGGATACTATGGTCAAGGCTTTCCTTCATTTATTCGGGTAAGACACGATTTGTTTTTTATTTGTGTGAGCTGACAGTGCTGGTCGGTTCTCAGATGACAGAGGATCTTCATATATTCCATGAAGCGCTTTGAGGCGTCTAGAAGATGTGATCAGGCGCTATATCAAGTACAAGAATTATTATTATTATTATTTAGAATTACAGTAAACTCCTGATTACTCATTACTACAAGGGAAAGCGATCAGTGGCTAGTTATCCAGAGTGGCGTGTAAGGCATATGTAAAAATACATAAATAAATGGGGCCGGGTTATTGACAGCATGATGATGTAAGTGCTTGTGACAAGTTAAGCTACGGTCAAGTTATCATCAGTTTACTGTGTATTGGTGACTTGCATTAGCTAACTAAGCAGGCTGGGTTCTGCTGATATCTGAAATAATTATCTTTAACACATCTAGAACCATTTTGAAAAGGCTCGGTCCATTCACATTTTTCAAAATATTATTCAGAATTGCAGAAATAATCATGTGATATGGAATGAAATTCCCCATGAAGGACAACAAAGGGCATTATGAATGATGATTGACTGCAGAATTAGAAGCTATGTCTCATATCCATGTTCTAATTGTACTTTGCAGTACTACGTGGTTTAATAAGCTCGATGAGACACAGATTGTGATACAGCAACTCAATCTCACTGACGCAATGATACTTCTTCCACACCCCAAAAGTTACAGTGGTACATCTTGCAACTCTGCTGTTGTGATGCTAAATCATTTTATGATCCTGATAATAATAATCATTGCATTTGATGCAAAGTCAAAACATCTCAAAGCACTTGACAGGTGCTAACTGTTTATTTATAGGCGAATGCGGCAACCAATTTGCACCGAGCAACATTCCACAAAACAGCCACGAAGTAAATGGCCCATGTATGTATTGTTGGCCAGAATACCAGGAGAAACTTCCTTTTTCCGAATACTGTTGTGGGATTTTTAATATTTACCTGAATAACAATGCTTTGGTTTCAATTGCAGAGTTAGCCCAGACTTTGAGTTCAAAGTCTCAACGTAGGGAATGAACGCACAATCTTCTGACCTAAGATGAGAGTGCTTCCAGTTGAGTCGAGCTCAAGTTTAAGTCATGGAATTCACTACATGTTTTCCGAATTATTTCTACTTTACAGAAAATAATGTTTATGTATTAAGTTTAAATAATTTGATGCAGTTTATATTTGTTCTAGTATCTCCATAAAAATTATCCCTAATTAAACTTGTGGAAATATACAAATCAATGCGGACTTGTGCATTTTAAATAGCTAGTAAAATAAAATGCATACATATATAGTGAAAAATAATGAATTTGAATTTGTTTATGAATACACCAACCTAAAGTAAAAAAATGTAGAAATATCCCCTCGTAGTTTTGTAAACCCAAACTCAACATCTCTTTAATCATGTCATTGTGTTATTTTGAGGAAAGATATTTAAATCTTAGTATATTTGTATCTGAATCATTATTCTGCAGCAGCGAATTCACTTACACTTAAACCAAGTAGTTTGGCTAAGGAATTATTTGTTTTCCTGCTCATTGACAAAAGCTTTAATTCAATGTTTTTTTGATGAGAGGAAAAAGTAGGTGGTCTAATATCTGTTGGTACATCTTAAATCATGACTATTTAGAGGATGCTTATCATTTTAGACTTTACTGTAAATCTTGTAAGCCTTAGCTGTTAAGGATACACAAGATGAAAGGTACCTTTTACAGTAAGATTTACCTTTTCCGATTTATTTTCATTAGCCAAATATTTGACAGATGGGGAAACCTATCACCATTCTTAAGTGTCTGCAAACTTAATTATTGAGAGTTCATATAAATGGTTTCTGTACCTGTCTATGAATTAGATCTACTAAGTGTTGATTTGTGGAGATGGATTATATCAGAATCGCAAGAGAAGCAGTATGTTGTCATGAATATTTGAGTGATGTTGCACTGGGTGAGTGCATTGCATGGCTGAGTTGGTGCCACATTGACATTCAGAAAATGCTTCAGATTACTAAGTGAAGCTCTCAATCTTCCATTTGAGCCTTAGAGTTTCAATTTTTTTCAAAGGAAATTCTGAAAGCTTTTGCACAGTAATTTGGAGGCAAGGCACGAGATTCGGTTAAACTTTATTCTTGAGGTTGAGGTACTTTCGTCATTATCTCAATAATTTTACTTTTATTGCATGACAATTTTGATTCCATGGCCCCATATCTTACCCTTGAAATCCAGTGACATTAGTTTGTAAAGTATTTGACCAGGTATGGTGCTCCTTTTCATACAAACATAACAAAAACATTAATCTTCATTTGATGAGCTTACATATATAAGACATAAATATTGAAGTTGGCAAGGATTGTTGGAAAAAAATCCCAGTTTCCAGAATATTCTAATGAAAGTAATCCATAAGATGTTGTTTCATGACATCCACTTCAGTCCCTTTGCTCTCGTCCAGTTTTTTCTACCTTGCCCCCTTCCCATGTTGAAGTATAGCAATGAAGCAGGCATGTTTCTTATTCCACAAGCATTCACTCATTGAGCTCCCGTGGTTGGGGTGGGGGGAAGCATTTGAGACATTTTGTGCTCACATGAAAGGAACAAAATTGAAAATTTAAGAACTGGCAACTTTTCAGGAATATGCTGCCCATAACATATTTTTCATACCTTGCCTTAAGTAAAAATGGATTGTTTAAAAATTGCAATGTAACAAATGGACATTTTTGAAAACTTTTTAAACAAAAGCATAGGTTTATTTAAATTAAAAATATTCAGATATAGTGTATCTAAAGTATGCTTTTTATTATTTTGCTGAGTTTATATCTTCTACAAACTTGATTGAAAAATGTTGCCTTTAAAAATTATTGAAAATATTTTACATCACAAAACTAAAACAGAATTAAATATACCAAATCATAGAGGTAATTATACTGATTTTGATCCTGGTTATATTGCTATAATTTCGAATGCCAGATATTCATGCACGTTTTCAGTGGGCTGTAGTTAAGTGTGAGGAATATTCTGCTGTTTACAAGATTACAAGAAGATCGAAAATGGATATGGCAATATTCATTTATAGTAAGTAGCCTTATGAAACTAAAATGTGAATGATTCCTTTGGTTCTTACTGAATTCTCGCAGAAATATTGCACTTCATCAGTGCAATGCAGTTAAGAGGAGGTCTTCAAAAAAAATTGGAATATTGTTAATCGAATCTGTCAATTGGGCTTCAAGCTCTCAGTTTGGAATGTTTGCAAGTCTCGATTACTAGTCATTTGCACTCGTTGTCAATCCATTGAATTGACCTTTACATCGACTCTTAAGTGAACCTGAGTAAATCAATTTGATATGACTCATGTGGACAGAAAAGTTGAATTCTCACAAAGTGAAGCTTAAAATAGAAGCTTAAAATCTGTCTTGTTTTTAATTGAAATCCCCCAAAATGGGGGTCTCCAACCAGTTGATCGCCCCTGGGTGGCCCTCTCACATGTGACCAAAAAGACAAGAGGAAGGAGCGATAGAACTGGGGATCGAAATAAAATATAAACTTTATTGTCAGCTGTGCTAAGTATTGCTCCTTCCTCTTGTCTTTATTGAGCATGCAAGAGAGGACACCTAAAGACGATCAATCAGTTGGAGACCCCTGCTCCAAAAAATCTTTCCCAGTTACTCAACTGATAGAAATTCTAGCTTCTCACCGAGGGAAAACAATTCACACCCCAAGTAAACTTTGCATTCTGTGACAAACCTGTGGTTCTTCATCTCCCATTGAGAATTTCTGTTCTCTCTTACCCTTGAGATAAATCCATTTGTTTTTTTATCTATTGAATACTGCTCCCATATCTGGAGAGGCATTTCTAATGCCTCTTTTGCAGTTTCATGCCATATTCTCGTCTTTATTGTATGATCCAACACACGGCACCTCTGAAATTCCTTCTCCTGTCTCTTCTAAGCATGTGGTCTTATATAACTTTCTTCCAACCTCCCAAGAAGCTAGACCTTCACATGAGGGAAAGAGGAGTAGAAAGGTATGGGAGATCTAAAGAATGGGTGGAGACTCATGGAATATAAATACCGGCACAAACATTTTAGGCAAAGTAGCCTGTTTTCTGATAGACTTCTAATTTTCTTTTAAAAAAATCATAATTGTGGTCTTCTAGGGCAAGATGTTCATTTACAGAGGAAAAGAGTATGAGCGACGTGAAGATTTTGAAGCAAGATTATTCACTGTATTTCCCAATGCGGAAAAAATGAAGACAACATCTCCACCAGGCGATGATATTAAAAGCTCTCCTGGGCAGTGTATCCTTGGACTCGCATGTGGTTGCTTCTTGTTTCCTGTGTGAAAGTTGGTGGTGCAAATGAACATGCATAACGTAATCTTTACGTTTCATATAGCGCCTTATCACATCTTCGAGATGAGTCAAAACTCTTCAGAATATAATGTAAAGTGAATTCACTGTATATTTTGTGGGCGAAACGCGGCAGCTAATTTTGCACAGCAGTGTCCCACAAACAGTCGTGGGTTGAATGACCAATTTATTATTTTTTACCCCCAGAAAAGCGATCTGCCAATCGACTAACAATCGAGTTCCTACTTACTGCTAGGTAAGCAGAGGCGTGTGGAGTAAGAAAACTTGCCCAACATTTCTCCCTGTCGGGAAGAGAAACCCAGGACTCTTACTGGGATTAGAACCAAGATCACTCGCTTGCAAGACGAGTGCTAGAACCACTGAGCATCAATGCATCGTTGAAACAGTATAAAATTGCAGACTTAGTTTGACTGTTATTTTCTACATTGGAGTCCTGTAGCTCAGTAGTTAGAACACTCGCCTTGCAAGCGAGTGACCTCGGTTCTAATATTAGTCAATTGGCAGATCGCTTTTCTGGGGATAATAATCCCTCAAAAAAAACCAATAATAATTTGATTGCTCAACCCACGAATGTTTGTGGGACACAGTCAATTCACCTTACAATATATTCTGTGAAGCGTGGAGTCCTGTAGCTCAGTGGTTAGAGCACTCGCTTTACAAGCGAGAGACCTGACTTCAATTCCAGGCAGGGCGAAACCTTGGGCAAGTTTCCTTACTCCACACGCCTAATAATAATCCCTCCAAAACCAAAAACAATAATAAATTGGTCATTTTCAATCTACGACTGTTTGTGGGACATTGCTGTGCGCAATTGGCTGCCGCGTTCGCCCACAAATAAACAGTCAATTCACTTTACAGTGTGTACTGTGAAGCGCTTTGGGACGTCCCCCCGACGTGAAAAGCACTGTATCAAATGCAAAGATTATTATTATTTGAGACCTTTAGAAGATGTGAAAAGTGCTATATCAAATGCAAGGTTTATTATTATTATTTGACACACATACACTCAAGGCAGCTGTTGACAGGAAATGCTTGCAGTTGAAGTTAAAAAACAGAGTGTTTCAGTAATGAAGAAGAAAACTTGTTGCTTCGGTTTAACCTCAAGTAAGTTCTCAAATATGGCTACTCTTCATTCACCTCAATGTGTTTAGCAGGCTCATTGTTTATAAAGTGTTGTATTCGGATGTTTAAAAACTAATTGAATGAATGTACTACCAATGAGATATACAGGATAATATAAAACAGTTAGAGATATGAAATGTTATTTCATGTGTCACATTTCTATTTCTCTTCATTTTTAAAATCCTTGATAATCACTTGTAGATATTCAGTGTTTCACAGTACAAACCATCCGTGAGCTTCCACCTAAGTTCAGGAACAAGCCTATCTCAGAGCAAATATTGAGGTAACTTTTCCCCCTGGCTTTACTGTATAAATCATTTAGATTTCTTGTCTATTAACTGGACTATCCAAATGGCCTTGATAAAAGCAGGCAACATGATATTTAGCTTAAGGAGTTGCTAATGTTACATTAGCAGTAATAGTTTTGACTCATGTAATTTAATTATGATTTTTATTTTACAGTTTTTACACAGTGAATGAGGTGCAACGGTTCCAGTACTCCAGACCGACCAGGAAAGGAGAGAAAGACCCAGACAATGAATTTGCTGTAATATATGTTTTAATTGTACATTTGTAGCATTTTCTAATATTTCAAAGATGACAGAGATTGTTGCTTAATAATCATATAGGAAAATGAGTATTTCCTTTCCTCAAAGAGGAGAACAGCTATACAGCCTCTCAAATCTGTTCAGCCATTTTATTTAGTTCATGGCAAATCTTTTAATCCCATTACCCTGCCTTTTTTCATATCTCTTTCACAAATATGTGCACCTGTCACCCTTTTAAAGATTTCAATGGATTCTGCACCTATAGCCTTTTGTGCCAATTCATTCCACGTTTTCACAATAGAATCTTTCAACAACAAAAGTGAAAAAATATAAAGAAACTTGAATTGGATCGTAAAAATGTAGAATCTAAAACTATGCACTATATGTTAGAAGTAAAAGAAAAGCTTTGAGTGTTGGGAAAGTAAAATAAGAACAGTAATGCTGTCACTCACCATCTGAAAGGTGTGATTATCCATCCAAACTGATATGGGAGAGGAGGACAAGTTAAGAAAAAAAATACATTTGGAAGAAGTTAAATATATTGTTCTCCCGAAGACCTTTATCCAAAATTTTATTTGCTTACAAATTATGCTACTACCTTTTTGGAAGGTTGGGGTATATTTGAAGATCAAGTCCATTGTATGTCTAACTCCAAGAAACTTGACTCTAAAGAAACTATTTGATACAATTATAAAAGTGAGTCAACAACAACAACAAAATTACATTTGTAAAGCGCCTTTCACGTCAGGAGGACGTCCCAAGGCGCTGGACAGACAGAGTTACGGACCTGAGCTGAGGGTTGGGGTGGGGGAGGGTGGAGGACAGGGGGGAAGCAGGGAGATCGAAAGTACGGTCAAAGAGGAGGGTCTTGAGGTGAGTCTTGAAGGTGGCAAGGGAAGGGGGGGCGAGACGGAGGGACTGCGGAATGGGGTTACAGAGGGTGGGAGCAAAGTGGCAGAAGGCCCGCCCGCTGCTAGTGGGGCGAGCGAGGCGGGGGACATGAAGCTGAGCGGAGGGAACGAACAGGGTAGTAGGGGGTTAGGAGGTCGAAGACGTAGGTGGGAGCAAGACCGTGGAGGGCTATGAAGGTGAAGACCAGGATCTTGAACTGTATCCTCTGTGTGATGGGAAGCCAGTGGAGTTGTACGAGGATGGGCGTGATAGGGTCACGGAGCCCAGTGCGGGAGAGAACACAGGCTGCAGAGTTCTGGATGATCTGCAGCCTGTGGAGGGAGGAGTTGGGGAGTCCCGACAAGCAGTGAGTTTGCATAGTCAAGCCTCGATGTTACGAAGGTGTGTATGAGGGATTCGGCAGTTTGCGGTGTGAGACAGTGTCGGAGCCGGGCGTCGTTCCGGAGGTGGGGGAAGGCAGAGCGGGTCATGGCGCAGATGTGGGGTAGAAAGGACAGTTGAGGATTAAACAAGACGCCAAGGTTCTGGACTGGCTCAGTGAGGTGGAGTGTGCAACCATGGATAGGGATGCTGTCAGTGCCTGAGGTGTGGAAGTGTTGATGGGAGCCAATCAGGAGAGCCTCGGTCTTGTTGACGTTCAATTGAAGAAAATTAGCTCTCATCCAGGTCTTGATGTCTGACAGACATTCTGTCAGCACAGCAGTGATCCTGGAGTCAAGGGTGGAGGCAGAGAGGTAGAGTTGGGTGTCACCTGCGTACATGTGGAAGTTAACCCCACGTCTGCAGATAATGTCACCAAGAGGGAGCATATAGATGTTGAAGAGTCGGTCCTTTTATCTCAATGTGATGTGAAAATGTCAAACTGGTGGCTAATTATTTTTTTGGGAACTGTGTTTTTGATTGCGGTGAATAAATTTATATGGGGCCGGTGAGAGACATTCACTGTTGCCTTTCTCTAATGCTAAGCTAATTGCGCGACACTGTTTTCACAGAATATGTGGATTGAAAGGACCACGTATGTCACAGAATACAAATTACCCGGCATTCTGAGATGGTTTGAAGTGAAATCGGTCTCAACGGTAAGCACAGCACTCGACGTGTATTCACTTCCCTCATGCTGTTCATGTGCGCAGAAAGTCACTGGTGTGGCAATACACCATCTAACCTACTAGCAAGAATAAGATAGGTTGTGGTTTGTCGTTATGTAAGAAGTGCAGTAAGTCATGTCATCAGTGACCTGATCTACTGTCTTTTTTTTATTGAATAAATTGCTAATTCATTCATGAAACCTTCACACATGAAAAGATCCCGTCACCTTCCTTGTAAGAAACAAAATCACCTGGGGAAGCTTTCCCTATTGGTTCTTTGGGTCATCACTACTGATCAAATATGTTTCAGGTTAATATTACATCGCTAAAGTTAATCCTGATATGGGAGTAGCAGCATTTATTTTTTTCAATGCCTTTTTAGGTAAGCTGAAGGAAGCCTACTTTTATCCCTGAACCTACTGTCAGTCTAAGGTTTAAAATCTACTATCTTTGATATTATTAAGCTACTAAGTTTACAGAAACCTTGCATTCATTCTACTTTTAGACATTATTGAATTAGTCGCATTTTGACACTCACAAGTAGATATAACTTCAAAACGGGAAACGATCTGTGTTCTGCCAAGAACACAGATCGATGGTTGTGACTTTGAATTCCAAGGATGCAGGGCATTTCAGTTTGGTTTGTGCTGTTGATCTTGGCCATGAATCGAATATTATGCCAAGTACAGAGAGGACTATATATCTCTTGGGAAATGGCAGAATTATAACAGCTAATTTCCCTGCAGAAGATGTGAAAAGCGCTGTATCATAAAGCAAGCATTATTATTATTATCTGCTTTGTAATAAGAGCAACCTTGGAGTTGTCCGTGCCTTGAGTGTTTTACTAATGTGGAAGTTGTGTTGTTTAGAAAGCAGCCCTGGAATACAGATCAATTTTTAAAAGGATTCAGGCGTAGAGCAGAAATTCAGAGAAGTGGTGGGATTTAAAGATTTCAAAATGTGCTTTCAGACTTTTTATCCAATTTATTATCAGAAGAGGAAACAAATTTGAAAACTAGTCATAAAACGGCAAAAGCTTGATAAAAAAGGGTTCAAGCTTTAAACATTTTTCAATATTGTCTTTGCACAAACATATATGCTTTGGCAAACATGTGACTGTATTTGTCAGATCCAAGATAATTTGTTATTCTTGCAAGGGTATGCACTGTATTTTAAACTATCTTTCTCTAGTCGTCATAGCAATTATTCAAAAAAGGATTAGGGCAAATGGAAATTCTGAAAAACAACCTAGTGGTAGAATCGACTTTAAATACATATTGTGCAAGTCGCAACTCTCAAAAGATACTCCCTAACCTTTTTAAATAATTTAGTTAGTCGCTGTAGGTATGTAAGTTTCTCAAGTGAGATTTTGCAATGGAGACAGGAAAGTTAGGAAACCCAGACTTTTTCAAAATTGCAGGTAATCTTGAGATTTTAACTTCTGTAAAGTTATTTTTGGATTATGAAAAACAGTTTGTAGCATTTCAAATTATATTAAAGAACTCAGATTTTAAAATAAAGTAAGAAAGGGCAGTTGCATGAGGATTTGATATGACCTAATTTTACACACACTGGCATCTTAGCTGAAAATCTACCAGAAAAATCCTGTCATAAACTTTGTGTTTTAAAAAGATAGTTTGAAAACTGATAGCAGGTATCTTTGAACATAAAAAAAACAATAATAAATTAGTCATTTTCAATCCATGATTGTTTGTGGGACACTGCTGTGCGCAATTGGCTGCCGCGTTCACCCACAAATATACAATCAATTCACTTTACAGTATATTCTGTGAAGCGCTTTGGGACGTCTAGAAGACGTGAAAAGCGCGATATCAAATGCAAGGATTATTATTATTATGTTTGCAATGTTATTTCCTTTCCATATTTTAGGAGCTGATGAGTGAGAATAAGCTCCTGTGGCTAAACTCTGAGCAGCAGGAGAGTGAATAAATGTCTATAATAAAGATTGGTCATGTTGGACAAGCTACAATAAATATTATAGCCATCAGGGGAGAGGAGAAATAGACTCAATAAAAGCTGGAGTTGCCAGAAGGAAGAGGAGAAGCTGTAGTGAAGGAACAAAAGCACTCAATTATATGTTGCAGTCTTCAGTTTTTCCAAACCTTTGCTAGCAATTGGTATTGCTATTGAAAACCAGAAATCAGGTTTTCAGTCTGTCAGCACATCCCCATTTCTGCTCTCGTTCACCATCTTTACATAATGGTGTAAAGAACATCTGCCTGACCGTCCCTCCATCACAACATCTGTGTCTGTCCTGAAATTGCCCTTTACAACTCTAAACCCATGTCCTCTTTCTCTATTGTCTTTGTTCATTATCAAATTATCAATTAATTATCAATTATTACATGGGTTACTGTTTCAATCCCATTGGAGTTCTGTAGCTCAGTGGTTAGAGCACTCGCTTTGCAAGTGAGAGACCTGAGTTCAATTCCAGGCAGAGGGCGAAACCTCGGGCAAGTTTCCTTACTCCACACAGAGCCTAATAATAATCCCTCCAAAACCAAAAACAATAATTAAATTGGTCATTTTCAATCTACGACTGTTTGTGGGACATTGCTGTGCGCAATTGGCTGCCGCGTTCGCCCACAAATATACAGTCAATTCACTTTACAGTGTGTTCTGTGAAGCGCTTTGGGACGTCCTCCTGACGTGAAAAGCGCTATATCAAATGCAAGGATTATTATTATTATTATTATTATTATTATTGTTCCAATTCTGCTAAGCAGACAGCTGTTGTCAAGGTGAAATTTATCATGTCACTTTTTGACTTTTAAACTATCATATGTTTAGTAGATTAAGTACACATGACCAAGGGGAACTCTCCAGTAGAGAGAGCTGCATTTTACGGACAGGAGCTTGCTGGATTGCATTTGCTGCTCTTGGCTTGGGATACATTGGGTGGTCAAATTGATCCCACCTACCCAGGATTAAAGCTTGCCCTAGACTGAAGTCTTATTTCAACAGTACCTTAGATTTCCATTTATCCTGGATTCCTGGTTACTTTTGCAAGCTTTAAAAATTTCATTTTTGGCACCGTAAAGGTTGATTGGACAGAGATTGAATAGAATTCACACCTTGTGCTATATATTCTCCAGCCTACGCACTAACTCTCATGGGTTCTCTTTTTAACCTGCCTGTTTTTTTTTCATGCATTAGTAAACGGGATCACAATGCAAACTTTAAATTGTAAATTATAAATGATATCCAGTGTACCTGAAACCATGAAGAAATTGTGCACTGTTCCATAAAAAGCTCGAACGATAAAACTTCAGTTTTCAGTGTCCTACCTAAAATAACGTAATCTTGCATGGATCATGTTCGTTTACTTTGATTTTTTAAATTAATTTTAAGTATAATTTTTAAACCTATTATGCCATCTATAAACTTGGTCCAAATAAAGGATAATATTATCCAGCAAGCATCCCTGATATAGCACATTTATGATGGTATCATTTATATTGTATTCATTCAGCTTTACCAGTTTGATAAATGTCCCAGCCACCTGATACCCGACATGTATCCTCTGTTTTAACATGAACTGGGTCAGGGACAAAGTAATTGCACATGAATTTGCTAAAAATTGATGTAAAGAATTCCCAGCATAGCCATCCTAATGATTCATAGCCTACAGCAACTCTAAATTCTACCTGCTATTTTTATACCTTCAGCATAAATGAATTATGTTTTTCTGTTCAGTAATTTAGATTTTTCTGTGTTGTTGCCTTGTTGAATGTGATGGAATGTTTCCTGTCACAATTGTGAGGCTTTATGAAATAAATAATAATAATCCTTGCATTTGATATAGCACCTTATCACATCATCCAGATATCTAAAAGCAATTCAACACCCAAAGAGATCCCGCTTATCTCCATCCTCCCCCCAAGAAGGATAGTCACTAGTTGGTCGTTCGACATCCGACAAGTACATATTTGAGCCCCAACGAGGTGGATGTTAGGTACCAGGAACTCACTGCGAGTTTCCCAGTGTGCAACACATCTCAGCATGAAAAGTGTGAGAGCATTATTACCATCTTCCTGTCCGCAGCTTGGGCACATGTCCTTTCCCATTGAGTGATGGTTCTACCAATTGGAAGTGTGGAGCTTAAGCCTCAACGATGTGAGTTCAAAGTACTGTGCGAGGCTTGAATCCAAAAAAACTTCTGATGCAGAGGCAAGAATGTTATCAGGCTGAATAGAACAAATTTAGAATAGAGCTTCAGTCGAACTGGCTGCTTGCTCTGTGGTTCATAGGTGAGCTTTGGTAGTCTAGGAGTGCATCTTAGCCAAGAATCTCTCTTCACCTGTCACACACCAATAGAGAGAGGTGAAGAGGGATGAGGGGCCAGTAATCCTGGCTGGTTTTACTCTTTCCAAACCCTGGCAAGACTGGGGCCAGTTTAGCATCCCATATAGATTTGACTGAAGCTAACAAACTCAGCATGGACTAGGATTTGAACCAACGAGTCACTAGCCCCTCTATCGACTGCACCATCAGGACTGCCCCTGGTGTATATAATGATAATAATAATAATCATTGCATTTGATATAGTACCTTATCACGATTTCGAAACGTCTCAAAACGCTTCACAGACAGAATACATTGTAAAGTGTACTGACTGTTTATTTTGTGGGCGAATTGCGGAAGCCAATTGCGCAGTCGTGGACTGAGTGACCAAACTATCATCACTTTTCAATTTTTTGGACGGGATTATTACCACCAACGATAAGTCAAAGTGAAGTGGTCTGCTTTCCAGCGGGATCAGGAACCGCTCGCCACAGGCTGTACAGAATTTTTCTTCACATTAAAAAAAGGATCCTCAGACTTCCTGCTGTTCAGTAACCTTTGGAGTCAAGGAGAGCAGATATGTCAGTGTAAGTAAATTACAAGATTGCAGCACAGCTTTAGTTTGTACAGTGTCTGCTGGACGGAGCAGACTTAAATGGCCAAATGACTTCTCATTCCAAATGTTA